CACACGTGGGAAGTTAGGCTACCGGCGGCGAAGCCCCGGTCTCGAGACAATGTTGTAGCCAAGACTTGCAGCGCGTAATTACACGCTTACATGGTATAGAGACATGCGTTGGGTCATGTCAACCATGCGAGACGCGGCCTAAATGGAACATGATGAAAACCATACGTAGATGTAGGTAGGTAGCAGCAAGCTTGTGAAAGCTCGACTAACGCACACACGTATATATATAGATTACGCACGATGTAACTCGCAGTTTCTGGGATGGAAATGTAACCTCGATACTAGATCTTAATGTTGTGACACGGTCAAAACAAAAAATGGTGTGTTGGATAGATTACGAGGGGTTTATGATATTGTTGGTGTTGGCGCGATGTTAACTTGGAATTGACTTCCACTTCGACGAATTGGAAAATAATCTTATCGATAAGCATTGGCGCTCATTTCAAGGACATTAGGCTCATTGGCTTGGAAGTTTGACCTTGAATTACATAAGGAGCCGCATGCCAACATTGGCACGTGTCCTTAGACCAGTCTGGATCCTGCCGATAGTGAGTGATACAAAGCGGCTTATCAGCTAGTCACCGTTTCGCCCCCTATTTTTCGTTAGTGCGTCGGGTAACTGGAGTTCGTCCGATTTTAAATCACGAATGACAGCATCGCGACAGATCGCAACAATAGATGATCGTGTTCTAAAACTTGCCATTCGCGTTGTTATTCCGGCTTCAATTGAAAGAGTTAGCCCTCAAATTCCAGAGAAATACTAGCAGAACCATTAACTACTTGCTTACCTCTTCTCTGCTGGCTCCGAGAACGGTAGCAAGCTCATCAATCAGCCAGTTTCCTCGCTCCAGCGTTCGTGTCTTCGTATCTACTACACATGCCTTCTTCTGTATTCCCCTGTCGGTGATGCCCTTGCTAGGCATGGGCTGTTGGACGTTGGCCATCTCGCAAACCTCTACGCATCATGGCCTCATCCCTAGGTTAATCGTGATACTCGCGTTATTGGTGCCATGGATCGACTTCGTAGAGGCGATGCGCCCCAGTCGCATCGCCGAGTTAAGGCAGGATACGGTCGATATGTTTTATCACGGGTTCGATAACTACATGAAGATTGCCTTTCCCGAAGATGAGGTACTTCCCGACATAAACCGAGATAGAGTAGATCGCGGAGTGCATTAGCTCATTAATTTACAGTTACGGCCCGTTTCTTGTACACCGTTGACCCGAGATCCCCTCAACCCGGGAAACATTGCGCTTAATGACGTGCTCGGGAACTACTCCCTGACCCTCATCGACAGTCTTTCGTCCCTCGCGATCCTTGCGTCTGCGCCGCCTGACGATAAAAACACGGGTCCCAAGGCCCTAAGCGATTTCCAAGACGGCGTTGTCGCGTTGGTTGCACAATACGGCGATGGCCGGCCCGGACCGTCCGGCCAGGGCGCTCGAGGTCGCGGTTTCGACGTAGACAGTAAGGTCCAGGTCTTCGAAACTGTAATAAGGGGCGTTGGTGGATTACTTAGTGCTCATTTATTTGCCGTTGGAGAGTTGCCAATCTCTGGTTATCACCCGCGGAGGGCAGCTGATAACGAAGATGATGACCTTGAAAAGCACCCCATCCCCTGGCCGAATGGGTTCAAATACGACGGTCAGCTATTGCGGCTTGCACTCGACCTAGCCCAACGCTTGCTTCCAGCTTTCTATACTCAGACCGGGTTGCCCTACCCACGCGTCAACCTTCGTCACGGGATTCCATTTTATTTGAATTCTCCGCTCAACGCGAATTCCAGTCTGGAACCAAAACCAGCCGAAGGCTCACCAGAAATCACCGAAACTTGCAGCGCCGGTGCAGGGAGTTTAGTGCTTGAATTCACTGTGCTCAGTCGTCTCACCGGAGATCCAAGGTTCGAACAGTCCGCCAAACGGGCTTTCTGGGCTGTTTGGTCTCGAAGAAGCAGCATCGGCCTCATTGGAGCTGGCGTAGATGCTGAGGAGGGTCACTGGATCGGAGGATTCTCTGGTATCGGCGCAGGCATCGATAGCTTCTTCGAATATGCTCTCAAGACCCATATCTTGCTATCGGGCCAAGAGTTACCCAATCGAACAATACCTCAAGTTCATGACGGAGACTGGCTTGATCCGAACCAGATATATCGCCCACTCACCGATGAGGACAACTCTGCCGATTCTTTCCTACAAGCCTGGCATCACGCCCATGCCGCTATAAAGCGCCATCTTTACTCCGGCCTACACCATCCGCACTATGTTAATGCGCACATGTCCACCGGCTCGCCCCAAGCCTTCTGGATTGATAGCTTAGGCGCCTATTATTCTGGTTTACTCGCACTGGCTGGAGAATTGGATGAAGCCATTGAGACGCATATGGTCTACACAGCTCTCTGGACGCGGTACTCAGCACTTCCAGAGCGATGGTCTGTTCGTGACGGTCACGTCGAGGGCGGTCTCGGTTGGTGGCCAGGCCGACCAGAATTCATCGAATCCACCTACCATCTGTACCGTGCTACCCGAGACCCCTGGTATCTACACACGGGCGAAATGGTCCTGAAAGACATTAAGAGGCGGTGCTGGACAAAGTGCGGTTGGTCAGGCTTGCAGGATGTGCGTACCGGAGAGAAGAGTGATCGAATGGAGAGTTTCTTCTTAGGGGAGACAGCCAAGTACCTGTATCTCCTCTTTGATCCAGACCATCCTCTGAACAGTCTTGATGCTTCATACGTTTTTACTACAGAAGGCCATCCGCTCGTTATCCCTCGAAAGAAAGCGCGCCATCCAGCGCGCAGGCAGACATCGAAAAGGGCCGTTCAACCCTACTTCAATACCCAATTTACCAATACATGTCCTCGTCCGCCAATTCTTCCTCCCTTGACTGGTTCTGCTACTGCTGCGAGACCAGATCTATACAACGCGGCAACTCTCATCCGGCTCAACCAGATTCCCAACATACATAGCTTGGAAGACGCCACGGCAAAATTAGGCGGATCTGAGGCGCAGACGAAGCTTTCCGACCGACCGCAAGAAAACTACACCTACTTCCCCTGGACCTTGCCTCCTTCCATGCTCCCAGCAGATGGAATCTGCGCTATGTCAAAACAGGCTCAAACTTCGGTGATTGAATTCCCCTCCAATGCTCAACAGTCGGTGGGCAGCGCCTTTAATCTCATGTTCGGCGGGCATAACCTTGTTCGTATGGGGAGCGAAGGCATTGCGATTAATAGTCTCTCTGGCCTGAAGCTTACCTTACTTATGGAAGAGCCTCCGGAAACGGCCGAACGAGCATGGAGAGTGTACAGCATTGGGAGCTTACCCCTTGGCCGAGACGAGAAGGTCTTCATCGCCCGGGACGTGCTCGAACCTATGTCAGACCCTTTGTTTCATAGGATCCGCGACTCTGTCGTCGTCGACCTCCTCTTACAAATCGAGGTTCCTCAGGCACCGGCGGAGCATAACTCGAGCTCTATGGATCCAGAGCCACCTTTTGAGAGCCGGTCCACCATTGAGCTCGACAGCGATTCTGCCGTCGGCATGTTTAGCTCATTTCTACAACAGATCACGTCTGCTCTACGGGAGCCCGTCGCTACATTTGGGCCTGAGCCAGATCCCAAGCCAGAGTATAGATATGTCGAGATACCGGCCATCACACCGACCGGAGTAGGCGCTGCTCCGCTACCCGACATCCGCGAGGCGCCTAACCCGCACACGAGTGAGTTTATCGAGTCGCTCTCGTGGCGACGCATCTATTTCGCCGACCAGGCGTGCGAGGGCAAGCTCCCGGACGCCGCGGCGCGCACACACCAGGTCATCGTCATGCGGCGCGGCGGGTGCTCGTTCTCGGAGAAGCTAGCGAACATCCCGTCCTTCGCGCCCCACCGCAATTCGCTGCAGCTCGTGGTCGTCGTGTCGGACGACAGGGACGAGCTGGACGAGGACGAGGACGACTTGTGGGGCTTCAATTTCATCCGCCCGCTGCTCGACGAGCCCCAGCGGACGCCCGCGGGCGTGCCCCGCCACCACCCCATCGCTATGCTGATGACGGGGGGAGGCCGTGAGGCGTACGAGTTGCTGAGGACGGCGAGGAGCGTGGGGCTTAGGAGGAGGTATCATGTTGAGAGCCAGGGGCTTAAGATTAGCAATCTAGTCGTACTATGAGCGAAAGAGTGAGTAAGAGAGTGAGAGATGCGGATAGATTAACTAAAAGGTGGTACGAATTTACGAACGGCTGACTGGATAGCAAGTGTGTGCTACTGTAGCAAGCGGCATGGAAGGCGCTGGTGGACTTTTCTTTTTCCTTTCAAATCGTTCCTGTCATGTCGCAGTGCAGCGACTTTAGAGAGTGGCGGCGTGTATATACGGTCTCAAATGCTGTAGATATTCTGCGTGGGGGTTCGAAGAGCCCTGTGATGGAGAAGTGATAGCGTCACATTGGACATAGAGACTTTTAGATGTATATTGCACTTTGCTATCTTAAGCAGGCGGCTTTAAGAAGAATAAAATGGTATTATAGTCACATCTAGTCCTTTCACCTTATAACCCCCGTCGTCCCACAGAATGAGCACTGGCGCAGTCGGGGATACATTGAGGGCCAACAAGAATGAGATTCAGAACCTGCAAACCACCTTCATCATGCGAAGTGATAGGAGCCAAAACGTTGAGTTGTTAATAGGCGTCTGATATTAGTTGGTAACCGACATGCATGTACCTCAGAGTACATCATCCATACACAGTACATCATCCATACACAGTACATCATCCATACACAGTACATCATCCATACACAGTACATCATCCATACACAGTACATCATCCATACACAGTACATCATCCATACACAGTACATCATCCATACACAGTACATCATCCATACACAGTACATCATCCATACACAGTAGACCGGCATCTGATCTAAGGGAAGCCAAAAAGAAAAGAAAAGAAAGGAAAAAGGAAAAAAAAAAGAGCGGTATAAGAGGAATCTAACCTCCTAACGATGGACTCGCGGGGAATCGAACCCCGGACCACTCCCAAGCTGCGTATATCTCTCAGACGAAGTTTTTATCGTGAGGATTAAAGATGATCACAGACCATCACGTGCTAAGGGAGTATTATACCACTAAACCACAAGCCCCTGACGATCTTCTTCCAGTGTGCCGGATCCGATTCGCTGAAAGGACGTTTGCTAGTCAGAGATTATATTTCGTTGTGGCTGTTGGGATAATCGTACTTAGGGAATGTTGCCCTAACGGCCTAGCCAACCACGTGGAGTTTGGCTTAAGTAGCGTCGCCCCTCGGGTCCGCTCCGGGATGGATATAGCGCCGAGGCTGGCTATCTTTAGCGTTGGGTTGGGTTTGCTCGGGAGGTGTGAGGAATTTGTTAGTTAGTATGATTAGAAATATCTCTAAGACTCTAGTGCTGTTCTTGTAACTTTGATACTATGGCAGGTCTACTTACCTCTTAGAGCTAGTCGTGATGCGCCAACAAGATGGGAGTTGAGCTACGATGGTGCCAGACTCGTGTGTTATTTTAGTTTTCTCGTGTACCGTAGTCTCGAGCCCCTAGCCACTCCCTTTGGAAGCCGCGTGAAGCTTGTTAGTTCAAATGCCACTGCATACGAGAATAGCTTCAATACCTAATAGTATGTCACTCAGATTCGATACCTACGGTATAAGCAGGCGAGTTACAATTGTCGGTGTGATAAATGCCGCAAAAATATGATTCCTATATGATTTTGGCTTTACTAAGACATTCTTATCTCCAGTAAGTTGTAGTAATTTCTTGAAGCCATCGTGACTCTAGATAGCTACGGTAAACGGAGGTGTGAGTCTTAATCGGACGGGTATCTGCCCCAGCCTGACTAATACTCATTTTGCAGATAGTCGCGAAATGCAGCCAATGAAAGCCACTCCGTCGTGGTATGCCCGTAAAGAGACTCGTGATGTTACGCGAGGAAACTCGCTTCGCTCAAGTACATACATATCGGACGATGTCTTGGCGGGGTAAAAGATAGGTACGAGTCATAGAATTTGCCGCGCTTTGTTGAAAACCCGAAGATCTTTCACACGTTCAAGGCATACGAGTCAGGCTAGGCTTTACGATGGTGAGCTAAGGGTAACGAACAAAGATAGCAAATCTCGGGATTTGATATACGGGATGAAAACGAGATAAAAGAAGTCTCGCTAATTATGTTGGGATAGTTTTACAGTAGCTCCCTCAATCTCCCTGTTGTAGGCTTACCGAGACAATAATGCGATACCCAGTACATTGGGTTATTCGGAGCAATCGACAACTACCAGGTAACTGATGAGTTCCATTGATCGCCATAGCTGCCGAACCGCTAGTCAATCGTTGAAGAATAATATGTTTGGGACAAATGAATATTTAGACGCCACCGCACGTGGTGAAATATAACGGCTACAGCTGCAGACATTATGGAGCTTTCGATCCGGAAGATGGGGCAAACTGGAATGTTACCGATAGCTGCAAGAGCTGCGATTAGAAGGCGTGATATAGACTTTCGCTTGCATTATCAGACAGCCGCATCTTGCTGTCAGTGCAGATACGAGAAAATAGCAGAAGCGTCCCACGCTATTCGCTTGGCCTCGGCCGAATTAAAAACGCACCCACAAGTGATAAGTTGCCCGGACGATATCTTACCACTTTGGCAAGTTAGTGCTCTACTAGACTTCACAGTCCCGTAACAAATTCAATAGTAAGCTCGAGGCCCGTTTCCGGCCAAAATATGTTCAATTTAGAGGTATTGAGCCTCAGGTGTAGTGACGATGGTACTCGAACTACCCTAACCGAATGTCACTCAATGAAGCGATGCCATCTTCAAATTGTTGGGGGTATTGTTCTCGAAGACGGTATGCAACCTTTGTCTTAGTCGAGGTCCATATCGCTTGTAACGCCATAAACTCCGCCGTATGCAATGCAGCTGTATCCGCACGGACACCAAATGCCCCACCCGGACGCCAGATGCCCATGATAATATGCCAGAACCACTAGAAAAAACGCCGATATCATGCTTTTGTTTTGATGCTGCTGATGTGTGCTCGCTACCGGAGACACACTACTCTCGATTCGTTACCGCTTCGTATTGTAGCGAACTGCTGAGCTTAGAGGTTCCCCCGATTGTCCCATCGCGATAACCACTGTGTTCTTGCACACTCCATAGCTACAGCACTCTTCGGCTGGCATCGCTCCGCTGAGAATCGCATCTCGTTTTGACTATGTGTTCGTTAGTGACATTTGATCTGACACCGGGCGTCCTTCCATGCGGACATACGTCTGGACAGCGTATGGGAGAGGCGACACCCAAAGCGCCTAATAATGAGAAAGTTGTAATAAGCGACAATAACAGGTTGAATTGCATCTTCGACTATTCTGCTATTACGCTATAGCTTAGACGTCTAAGCGTGCGTTGGGAAAGATCGAGGAGCGGCGGGCTGTTTTTATTTGATAGTTTCGAGTAGAAGGATCAGTGTAATATACCTTGCTGAGTGATTCCTTCTTGTCGATCAAGACGAGACGCAAGGAAGAGATGTCAACCAACAAGATTATAAGGGAGAAGGATCACAGTAGGACGAACACCTTGGACGAGACAAAACGAGCGGCGGTATTTACTAATATAAGAAATCCAACGGATGGATACCACTAAGGCTAGAGTGGCACCATGACTCGGAGCCATATATGTATACATGTAAGGTAGGCAGGTATGTACATGTATGCCGCAGTTGTTTTGCCCTATAATGAATGCATGTGGGCACGACAGAGTAATTGCCTACCCTTGTAAGCTGAATGCCCGACGACTTACTGTACATGGCATATTGCGGGCTATCGCAATGAAAAGACATGTACACCAAGGCATGACGCGGCTGAAGAGCTGAGTGATCTGAGAGACTGTGGCTGTGGTTTTAACTGGTAGGGAATATGACGAAACACAGCTTAGAACGCGCCAAATAAGATGATTGAAACAGTCTGGCAGATTGATCCGTCAGGCGGCCGGGCGGGTTTTGCTGACAGAACTCGTCATTTGCATGCCAGTGGCTGTGAGCCGAGAAATCTGAAAACAAGAGCGAATGACTGTTTTGGGTATCTCGTGAAGATTCCAGTCTCGCGCCTCGTTGCTAACTAAGCCCGCCAAATTTGGCCGTAGCGATTGGGGATTGGGGACTTTGAGGAACTAGAATTAGTTCCGTAATAAGATCAATTGATAGTACGAGGGAGGATAAGGCGAGAATCGCGTGCTTAGGTAGGGAATAGCCTTTTTGAAGCGGGCCGCGGACCTACCGAATCTCGTACCCGTAACCCAAGTAAGAACAAAGAAAAAGCAAATATCGCAATTGGATGCTGATGGGAGAACGTTTCGAGATTGGAAAAAATAGAAACAAGCGGCGCATCTACTAACCTCATTTAGATGGTGAGAAGAGCACTTACCGGGGTGACGGAGGCTGGGATCATGGATGACGGGACTGGACTTCTGGAACGTGCGCTCCGGAAAAAGCTTGAAGCCGGTCGCGTCGCCAAGGGTCCTGAAGTCCCATCTCTGGAACGAGGAATAAAAACCAGATTCTAATCCATTTTAAGAAACAGCTCCTTACATAATGCAACGTTCAATTAGTGCCAATGTTTTCTACCAAATCATGGTTCTTTCCACCCTTACGAGGACTCGAGGAGGCTTAAACAGTACCCTTACATCACTTCCCAAGCAATGCCACCCCCGAGCTCTCCTCCCTTATCCAAGCCTTCTAGAAATGATACCAAACAACTTGAATAAGGTTATTAGCAAGATTTATACTTACCCTTCATCCTTACTGAGAAAATGCTTGGGCGCCATGCCCATATCTGACGAATACGACATACTAAATGAACTATCAGTGGAGTAGGTGCCCTTAAACAATATACACCTTTATTTATACGGAATGAGGTCGTCAACAGTACTTATCATTAGGCTATGAATATTCAAATGTGATATCTAAGCTCAGGTATACTATGTATCCGGAGCGAATCGAGACCACCTCGGGACGTGTGTCCAATAAGTTTAGGAAGTCTCGTCTCTTTAAGACTAAACACATCCATCGAGGTTATCTACTTCATGGTAGGAGCACTGAATAGCACGTATATACATGTATGTAAGTCATGACGAGAGAGTGCTAACTCTAATCTTCATGCCAATCAACAGTCGAACTCCAAGGAAGGATCAATAGGCACTCGTACGGTACATATGTAGGTAGGCAGGCACCGGTGGACATTATCTTGTTTATCTACCTCTTCCCCCTAGATCGTCAAGTTTCACCACCTCTTTTAACTCTTCGCTGTATTATCGTCTTCCGTTTATGTCACTCCCAGTACACTTCAAGTATCGTTCTCAGTAATATACGAGTCAAGTCGATCGAGGAGATTATTACTTTGAGCAAACTAAGAGACAGAATGAATACACCGACGGATAGACTTAAGCGTCTTTACAATCGCCGTATTGCTCGAAATCCTCATCGTGCAAGAAGTCTACCTCTCCCAGGCGATTATCCCTCTACCCCTAAGTCGCCTCCACCTGCTCCATATTTGCCACATCTCAGGATTCAGCTCCAGACTCCCCGACTTCCCGGGCAACCGAAGGTTGTCTATTGCCCCAAAGTGCCGACTCCTCCAAAATGGTCCCCGAGTACTGGCTACGGCCTCAGAGAAAAGGGAATCAAAACACGCGATGTGAGAATCGGTATATCACTATGACTTTTCGCCCATCCGTTAACATGTACAGGCCAGAAGTCTTGACGACAACTTCCCCTTCCCCTTCAAACTATATACGACTGAAGAGGTGATCGGCATACCGGATCAGACACTTGCGGAAATCATCACCAACAAGGAGCGAACTCCTGTCTTGTCCTATCGGCAGGATACCCAAAATTATGTATCACGCATTGCCCCTGGGTTGGTGGCCAAGTAGGGACGAGGTGTTTGCCAAGCAGAAGCAGACATGCTGTGGTATATTCAGGGAGTATCGGGAGTAAAGGACCATGTTCCTAAGCTGCATAAAATCTTGCGAGACGAAGCTACGGGATATCTCATTCTCATTATGGACTACATCGAGGGGCACGACTTAGTTGAGGTCTGGCGCCATGGCTCGAGAG